GAGAGAGAGAGAGAGAGAGTCCCAAAAGGAGAAAACTCACAGAAGATGAGTACCTTTGGCTGTCAATAAGTCATTGAACAACCTTCTCTTCTCATTGATCAGCGGGGAAATTCTAGCCTCAGTTTCAAGGGCAAATTGATCTGGCATTTTTATGTAGACAAACTTTCAAATCCATTAAGATAACCCAAGAACATAAAAAAAAACCTTACAAAAAGTAATGCTTTGGTGAAGGGCATTAAGTTTTCTTGGACTAACTAATCTCAAAGTGCAAATACATCACAAAAGAAAAAGAAAAAAGTAGTTTTATTTTGTTGCAATGTAATATCAAACCTTGTACCCTGTCAAAAAATATCACTCATCTTGAATTTAGACAAAAGTCCCATACCACCCACTTCAGAAATCCTTTAAACCGACAAACGCACAATCAAACAGCTTAACCAAATCTCTTACCTAGCTTTCGGGTTTTATTGGCAAGAACACCAAGATAACGTGTAACTCTTTCAAGTTTGGCATTAGAATACTCGTGCAACTCACTTGCTTCTTGTCTCAACTCCAAGTAATCTTCTCTAGCAAGCTGTCCAAAAAGAAATGTTGTAGCAGACCTCCTAAACCCAACATAATCTTCACATAAAAACAGTAAAATAACTTCAAAAGGCTCCAGAACAGATGCAACCACTTATTCTCACTAATACAATCTCTCACATTATGCACAAAGCGTTCACATTCTCCAAGCCAAATTATTCAAAATGCATTTCCAACAACACACACTCTTGAACCACAAACCACTGATTTTAACACTGATTCAGCTCAAAACTCCATAACTCACAGCCTCATACCTTAATTACCAAAACCAAAATCAAACAACGCATTACCTTAACTTTGTCCTTGAGTTTCTGGAGCTTAGAAGTCACAGAGTGGTTGGAGAGCTCAGACTGAGCCAAAGCCGAGGCAGCAGAGATCGAGTACCTCCGAACTAAAGGCGCACCAGGCTTGTAATCGTCATGGTCGAAGCTCGACGCCGTCGACGACGAAGAAGACAACTTCCTCGGCTCAAAGCCACTGACCTCCTAGTTCCACCTATTGTTGTTCCTCTGCTCCGCCATTGCCGTCTCCCCCACAAACCTAGCCCCAAAATTTGAAAACCCAAAATTCAAAACCTCAAAAGAAGCCAAAATTGCTTCTCAGTGGCTCTGGCTTGGGCTCTGTGGACCTAGAGAATAGGGATCATCTAATTTCAGCCATTTTCTTTTTGTGTTTTGCTTTTGGGATATATAAATGGAGTGAAGACGCTGGTATGTATGTCTGTACTGTACTGCCTTGTGGTTGGGCTGGGAACGACGTCGTTTGGACATTTGGGGGACACTTCTCGGCTTCTTGAGTCACAAATTTTTTGCGCTCGTTATTACTTCACGCCTCGCTCTCAGATGGGGTTGCCTTTGATTGTAGACTTGCACTTTTTAGATAAGGCAGCGCACGTGACCGTGCGTGCGGATTGTTCAGAACTTCCTTGTTGGGGATGAGAATTTGACTTTTAACCAACTGTTTGTTTCTAGCCCGAATCTTCGAATATTTGGTCCTAATGTTAAATTCTTTGGGGTTTTAATTTGGAAAATGCCACCTTTATGTATAACATGTTTGTATGGGTGGGCTTCACTTTTATTATATCGGTATTTCCGTTAATATGACCATCAATTTTCAATTTGAGTATAAGTATCAATTACCTCTAAAATGACCTATTTAATTTGACGACAAAATAGACGGAATGACCAAATTGTCACGTGCGACACAATTGAAGGACGCCAGAAATTAAAAACTAAATAGAAGACCAAAATAAAACTCGGGTATAAATTTAGGAGCGACTGCAATTAAAAACCCTTCTTTTTATTTAAATGGTACATTTTATTTTATATTTGCTTCGGTTACAAATATCTTTTTACTGTTAAGTAGTACAATATTTTACTGGGGATAAAAAATAAAAGAACAAAAAAAAAAACATAAACAAGTGGATTTGCATAATGCGCTTGTGTGGTGGTGGGTCATTTGGCTTGAAAGACCCGCCCAGCTCCAATTCAAAATTTGCTGTTTTTGTACTTGTTTGCTCTTTATACCCAACAGTAATGATGATGTACCACCTGGGGCTTGTTGGTATTTGGCCCACACCTTAGACAAATTCGATAATAATAATAATCAATCCTGCAAATGTATAGATTAATCAAACCCAAGTTGCTATGATATTTTAAGTAAATTATGCCTTTGATAAATAATATATCTATTAGATGGACAATTATGTAGAGAGCAAATGACTTGAACTTGAAACCAGCGTGCATGAAAGCATAATGAACATAATGAAATAAGCGTAATTCTCACTTATTTTACTTAATTTTCACTTAATAATTCCATGCTAATTATTTTAGAGATTTCTTTTTAATTTTTTGGTTGAATTGGAAAAACAAGGCCGAAGAACATAAAACAAAGCAAACTAGCCCAATGGGTTTGTTATATTGTAATATTTCGGAAATTTAATTTTTTGTAATAGCCCAATAAGAGATGTTTTCCTCTCTTATTTCTTATGTCTGGGAGTTCGAACATAAGACTACTGATCAGCACATCAAGACATTTTTCAACTGGAATAAACCCCATTGGCGTCTCTCTTGCACATGCCATATTTCTTTAATA